AACCGTGGACATCTTAAAGACAAAACTGGACTGTTTTCTAAGAGAAGTTCCAGATCAGCCAGGCTGTGGTGGGTATGTGGGCCTGCGGGCCGCTCCAAGCAACAGCCTGGTGGACCAAACTGTCACAAGTCGAGCCTGGCCTTGGGCCAGGCTTGGGGAGCAGAACAACTCCCAGAACCCCATGAAGCAGGTATCAAGCAGGAAAGCCCAAGGTCGACCTCTTCGCGTCGGCTTGGTCACGGCGCCTTTCCTAATATGTGGCGCCCTTCCCCGACTGCAAGGCCGTCGGGGTCGATGCCTTCCGGCAGGACTGGTCGACGTGGGGGTTCCTTTACCTCTTTTCCCTGGTTCCGCTGTTGCTTCGTGTCCTGACTCGCTTAGAGACCAGGGGAGAGTTGTCCTCTTGGGCCCATGGTGGCCGGCCCAGCCGTGATTTCAGGCGCTGCTTGCTCGGTGTCTGACCCCGGAGATTTTCCCGCGGCTCCACCTCTTTCAGCAGATCAGACTGGTGCGTCATGTGGCTGGTTCGATCTTCTCCTCGAGTCTTTGCGTATGGTATTTTTTACTAGAGTTTATCATCTCTGTGGTGATCAGGTGGCTTCCTTGTTAGTGTCCCACCTGCGGGCTTTGTCTCGGCGGCAGTATGAAGTTTCCTGGCGGTCCTTCAGATTCTTCTTACATCTGCACCGTTTTGCAAGCCGTCTTGGGCGTTGTTTCACCTCCGGCCTGCTCATGCGCCGCCTGAGCCATCCTGGTTTTTGGACAGTGCTTTCTTTTCTTTCTTCTCCTCGGTTTGTTGTGGCCCCTTCGGTTCCGGATTGTTTTTCGAAGACTGTTTTCCTGTTGGCATTAGCCTCTGGTGGTCGGGTTGGTGAGCTTCATGCTCTCCTCCAGCGCAGGGGTTTCTGCTCTTTCGGACAGGGCAATCGGTTTGTTCGTCTGCAGCCTTCTCCTTCTTTTCTGGCAAAGAATGAGACTGCTGCTTTCCAGACTGGCCCTGGGGTGTTGATGCTTGGTTGGTTAGGCCGGGGTGCATCAATGTTTTGTCAGATTGCGGCTCTCTGCCGTTATTTGCACGGCACGGCCTCTGTGTCCGTGGATGCGCTTTGGGTTGATCCGGTTTCCCTTCCCTGTTCGCGGGTGTGGGTCTCCCAGGTCGTCTGCAGGGTTATTAAGGCTAGCCAGCCTGCGGTCTATCCCCATGCCCGTGACGTTCGCAAGTTTGCGGCTCTTGCCGTCGTCTTTGGCAATATGTCTTAGGCAGACATTCGGGCTCGAAGATTTTGGGGGTCAAATTGGGTCCTGGCAGCTCGTTACCTTGTTAACATCCCTGGGCCCAGTCGGGCCTGTGTTGGTTTGGGTCGGCGGATGCTGTCAGTTGTTTCGACTTCAGGTTGAGGAGTGAACAGCAACCGCCTCCCGGGTAAGTCCCTCATTTTTCCGAAGTGGGTAGTTATCTCCAGGGAGCCGTAGGGGCTCCCTCCAGAAAACCAGCGTTGAATGTAATGAAACGCCATTTTCTGGGTGAGACCCGGAGGCTCCCCGGCATCCCTCCCTCCCTCCCTCTGGTTTGGCGTTTTTTTGTGTGTTTTGACATCTAGCCTCAGAACTGGGGTATAGATCCTGGCGGGGTAGGTCTGGGGTCTCCCCTTCCCCCTCCCGGGGAGTGGGGAGCTGCACAGACAGTGGCGCGGCAACGGGTGATGTCATACTAGTTTGCTCGTTTTTGTTTGGGGAGTTCTATCCACTTGTTCGGCTTTTGGTAGCAATATTTTCACCAGAATAGAGGTTTGTTTTGGGATGCTTACCTCTCTGGCTGCCTGACCCGGTCGATGGCAGACATAGAATGCTTCCAACCACACGGGGGCTTCCATAGACCATTGCTCCCCTTGCCTTTGAGGGGGGCCAGGTTCTGGCCGTGATCCCCGGTAGGCCCAAAGAACTCCATACACATGACTGATGCCAAAGTCTGACATTAGCATATCAGCCTGGATAGCTTCGGGAAGCCTCTGGGTCTCGCTTATAAAATGGTGTTTCATTACATTCAGTGCTGGTTTTTTAGATCCAGATAGATGCAGTCAAACCTAACCATCTCTTTTCTGTAAAATCTTCGTGGGTTGATCATAAAAACTGAGTAAATTCATTACACAGGATCTTCCAGATTGAAAACCATACTGACTGATATTATGTTGTTTTCTCCAGGTGATCATTACATTTAGATACATTTACTTTACATACATCATTACATTACAATACATTTAGTTTTAATTACTTTTTCCAATATTTTGACTATTATATTACACATGTCAAAGACACAGGTTTATAATTTAGGGAGTCTTCCCTGTTGCCACTTTTGTAGATTGGAACTGTTAGCCTTTTTAGACACATCTGCTATGACTACTGTAAACAGGGATGCCTGAAAAATCAGTTGTAGTGGAATGCTGAGTTCAGGTGCATATTCTCTCAGAACCCATGGTGAAATTCCTTCTGGACCAACTGCTATGTTCTTACTTAGTTCTTTGAGCATCTCTTCCACTTCGTCTCTAGACACTTCTATGTGCTCTTTGTTCTCTGGAATTCTTATTGCATCTGGTTCCCTGAAGATTTCATTTTGTATAAACACACTTTGGAACTTTTTATTTAATGTTTCACACATTTCCTTTTCATTTTCCATGAAGCTGTTTCCCATTTTCAACCTCTGAATATTATCCTTTATCTGCAATTTGTTGTTTATGAATTTATAGAATAGGCCTGGTTCTGTTTTACATATGTCTGCAAGCCCTTTTTCAATTTTTTTTCTGCCCCTCACTGCCGTGTAGTTATTTCTCGCATCTTTATATTGCTGGTACAGTATGTTTGGAGGTTTGGCCTCTTCCTATATTGATTCCTTTTTTGTGTCTTTTGGTCTCTGGGCCCTCTTGCAATTTGTTGAACTAATCCTGTTTCCAGGTTCTGAATCTCTGCTTTGGTACAAGTTTTGTTGTGCCTTTATCATATATTTCACAAAATTGACATACATCTCATTTACTTCGTCTTTACAACAAGTCTTTCCAATCAAATTCCTTAAATAAATGTCTAAATTCCCCCATACTATATGTGACATTCCCCGTGTGCATAAAATCAAGTGTTTGCGATTTTTTTTATATTTGTAAAATGATAAATTTCCTTACTTGAACACGTACATGAAAAAATAAAAAATAAAAAATTCCACAAATATATTTTTAGTTACTGGTATTTATTCTATGTATTTCCAATGCAGTTATATTTTTATTTTGTATATGATGCATATATACAGTATGTCCTTTACAATGTGTACAGTAGAATATTCATAATGTTCCATGGAACTGTGATACATGTCAGTAATGTGTCCACAATGTTTATTTTTGCTATATTACTTATTAAAAATTCACTAAAATTACAATATGTACGGTTTCACACGCTATTTACACAGTAATACACTGTATTACACAGTCAGTACTTCGGAAGCGAGTGATAATCAACGGAGCAGTCCAAGGTACACAGCGCGACTGCGCTCTCGTTGCTCCAGGTACAGATAGATTTTTGCTTCCAGTTTCTTTGTTCTGTGTGCTTGCAAATAATGCACTCACGTACACCCTTGGCTTTAGTACCTGTAGGTGGTATGTAGCCAAGCTTGTGAAGCGTAAAGTAGTCTTGAAAAGATCGCTTTGTAAGGTCCCTCACTGGAAGAGATTCAGCTATTCTTGAAAATATCTATGGAAAACACCACCACAGAAGCCGCTAACACTGTTCATCCATGCTACTTGTATCAGATGCATCATCACTGAATCCAGAAAACAATTCATTTATGTATTATCTATAAAAATAGGAGATGGCATGGGTGGACTCTGAGCTACAACTTGATATGCTTGCTGTATCACTTGCATCCGACCTTTGTGTTAGGTCCTTATTGTGCCTAGCTTCATCAATATCATGACCCTTATGTTCTTCAAACAATAAGGTCTGAATTTCACTGACAGAGCGATCTTTCAACACTGCGTCAGACAGGTGTTTGGGAGCCAGAGGCACATGCACCACCTATGGTTGCCATGGTGACATCCTAGTGGCTTTACCAAAATTGCACCCTTGTATAATTTTGCTGATACAGTATTATTAATGTTACAATCTCTGTATCTGTATTGTTGTTAAACCAATATCTACACAATATCTGTACTGTTGCTAAAACTACTGATTCTGTAATATAGTAGTCTATTGATCATTTTCACCTATGTACTGTATTGATTTTCATTACTAAAGTTTACAAAGATCTCTGTGTTAACTTGCTTCTCATTTAGTATTAAGTTTACCCCCATTATACCTGTCAAAAATTTATCAGAATTCTAAGTTTTGCCTGAAATGCTTTGCATATTAGTTCTGTGTAATGTGCAACTGCTGTACCTTCAAATATACCTTTGTATTTTTATCTTTTGTATTCATATTTTATGAATTAAATGTTGATGTTGGTGTTTTTGTTGCTGTTGAAATCAATTCAAGCCATGATGAGAATTTGAGCCTGCACACTGGATACTCCCACTTTGTACATGTGAAGAGAAGCATTGCAGGCAGAACTCGCACACCACACCTATAGTGCATGCGGGCAATGCGTGAAACCTGGATTGGGCTTCATTAAAAACTTCAGGACCCCCAGAGGATTGTTGAATCCAGGTTACATTGGTTTTAGCTTCTCGTATCTGAGTTGGTTAGGGCGTATACTTGGGAGTACCTATTGTGCAGGTTTGAATCTTCTTCATAGTTTATACTGAGTTTCTCACTGAACCATCATGTTAATGGGACTTCTTTGTGCATTATTATTATTATTATTATTTTTGTATTTAGTAGTACAGTAGTAGTGGTGGTGGTGGTAAAAAATTGAGAAAGTGAATTTTATTTGCCTTTGGGAAAACCAGGTTTTTAAAATAATTTGCTCACTTCAGGGCAAAATTTTGCATGTTTTCGGGCCATTTAATTTTGTGTTCTTGCAGGTGGACCAAGGGGACTGCTGCGGAGAATGAGGAGTCAGTTGGCAGAAGATGGTTGCCCAGAATCTCAACTGGTTATGGGAAAGACACTTCTAGAGCAGCAAGGCCAGGGTGAGTTGAACACTCGCTCGCACTCCACATCTGTTGTAACCTTGCTTCTCATTATTTATTATGTACCTGGATTGTACTTGGATGGTGTTCTGGGAGTTCTACTCTCCAAGCCTGGCCTGGGGAGTAGAAGCTAGTAGCAGTAAGCCTTGACTTGAGAGTTTGGTCCAATAGGCTGTTGCTTGGAGTGGCCTGGAGGCCCACATACATCCACCACGGCCCAGTTGGTCCGGCACTTCTTGAAGAAAACTATGTAGTTTTATCTTGATGTCCACGTTTGTTCGGGCAATATTTCTTATACTCGCTGAAAGTATGTTGAACAACCTCCCCGGACCTCTGATCGTATATGATCAATTCTTAGATACAGTACAGTGTTCTCTGATTGTACTTATTGACACCCCTGGTTCTACTCTGCATTTTCTTCCATATCATTCACTCCAGTATGTTATTTTCTACTGCACTTTAATTCTGCTCATTCATAAATCAGTACTTTGTCAAATTTTTCTTAGAGCAGTTTAACCACTGTGATGTGCAGAGTTTGTGACATTTCCCGTGTGCATAAAATCAAGTGTTCGCAAATTTTTTTTTGATCTTTGTAATATAATAAATTCCCTTTCCTGAACATTTACATTTAAAAAAAAGTAAAAAATTCCACCTACTTTGGCTGGGGGACGTGGAGAATGGCGCGTCACAGGCTGGTCCTCTGTGCGTGAAGCTCCCAGAAGCGGTCGCGCGCACAATTCATGCACCGCGAGTTGCCACAAATATATTTTCGGTTATTTGTCCTATATATTTCCAATGCAGTTTTACTTTTATGTCCTGACTTCCGGGACAAGCATGTGCCTTACTTTCCGACCATCCCTCGCGGTCGCTTGTCCCTCGATAGAATTCTTGGTGACTCGGATAATTTTCATATCGTTCGCCTTATGCGTTTCTGTTCTCGTATTGGCATCCTTGGTGATATTTAGCGCCCTCTGATTATCCCACACATTTGATGGTGCTATGTTTGGTGCCTCTTTTTTGATAATTACATTTTTTTTTTTTTTTTTTTTTTTTTAGCGTATATGATGCATATTTGTGTAATGTTCCATGGAACTGTGATACATGTGTCAGTAATGTTACCACAATAAATGTTTGTCATTGCAATATTACTTGTTAAAAAATCACTAAAATTACAATATGTACAGTTTCACACACTACACAGTAATACACTGTATTACACACTCAGTACTTCGGAAGTGAGTGATAATCAATGAAAATGTCCAAAGTACACAGCGCGACTGCGCTCTCGTTGCTCCAGGTACAGATAGATTTTCACTTCCTGTTTCTTCGTTCTGTGTGCTTGCAAATAACGCACTCACATACACTCTTGACTTTAGTATCTGTAGGTGGCATGTAGCCAAGCATGTGAAGTGTAAGGTAGTCTTGAAAAGATTATAGGAAAAGATCAATTTGTAAGGTAATCATGAAAAGATCGCTTTGTAAGCTTCCTCACTGGAAGAGATTGTCATTTTGGAAGAGATTCAATTAATCAGGAAGAGTCAGCCATTCTGGAAGAGATTCACATATTCTTGAAAATATATATGGAAAACACCATCATGGAAGCTGCTAACACTGTTCATCTATGCTACCTGTATCAGATGTATCATCACTGAACCCAGAATACGATTCATCTTTGTATCGTCTATAAAAACTGGAGATGGCAAGGGTGCTGAGCTACAACTGGATACGCTTGCTATATCGTTCTCATCGGTGCTGTATCACTTGTATCTGAACTTTGTGTTAGGTCCTTATTGCGCCTAGCTTAATCAATATCATGACCCTTATGTTCTTCAAACACTAAAGTCTGAATTTTACTGACAGAAAGCGATCTTTCAACACTGCGTCAGACAAGTGTTTGGGAGCCAGAGGCGCGTGCGCCACCCATGGTTGCTCACTCGGTACTAACCCAGCCAGCAGCCCTAGGGCATTCTGGGAATTTTTTCCAAGATGGCTGCCTCTCACTAGGGTTCCTAAGAGTCCATTTCGTACACAACCTACCGCGAGCTCACTTTGAATGGATACGAAATATTCAAAAGGTGTTTTCTCGGTTGGCGCAGTTTCCCACCGGCCGAATTTTCTCGCCGCAGCACAGTGGTTAAACAATCATGCCTCATGCTACTTCAGCTGCATGGAAGCATGTATAGTAGCATTCTTGTGTGCACAAGAAAACATGAATGGATATAAAGAATGAGAGCCGTTTCAGTAAACACAACCTATACAGAGTAATTATCCGAAGACTGTACTAAGCCAGTATGACGAAACTTGGTATAGCAATCCTGTTCTTTTGTAAAAACAAAGGAACATAAAGAAAAGAAAAAAGAAAACTAATTGTTAAACAGTTTATTAACCCTTAACCCATAAACCGCGCAATACATACTTATACGATGGGAGTAACTTTCCCGAAACCGCGCAATACTACATACATATACGATTGAGGGTCTAGCACACGATTTTAAATGCCCCGCAAGGGATAGAGGCAGCTATAGTCAAGCCGACCCTGAATGTAAACAGACGTCACCTAGAAAAAAAAGTGGGTAACATATCCAGGTGTGAGAGCCTCAGTCCTGAGTGTGCCACCAAGGCTGGCGCATGCAGCCTGAGCTCACAGCACTGCTGTTCAGCTTTTGACCACAGCATCGCCTACAAATGTCAAAATATATATGTACATGCTATTATTTAGCGATAATATTACAGAAGACCCCCGATTGTGATAAAAATGACCAGAATTCTGATAATAGCAGGATTGTGGTGATAATTAGCGTTGTAGTGGGAGGAGTAACCTTGGTGGGGAGGAAGGTAGTGTTGTATGCTGACTGTGTGCCCACCTTTTACTGTCTGGACTCACTATACCAGCTTATTGGTTTGCTATGGTGAACACAAATCTGGATACTTGTATATAACGTGTGTATAGAGTAAAATAACAGCAAAAGGAGTATGTTGGAAGTAGCCGTTTTGGCGAGGAAGGTTGCATCGTCTGCATGACATGTCATGTTGTGTACTGGTGGCTACTATGGTTGTTGGGCACCATACCAGCTTATTTGTACAGTTATGGTGAATAAAACATGTAGATATTTATATATGATGTGTGTGTATATAGTGTAATAACACCACAAACAGTGTTGTTGGAGGTGAAATATTAGTGCATCTGGCCTTGAACCAGTGAGGGAGGCAGCTACCAGCTGACTGTGTAGCTACGTCTCTTATTTCCTGAACTCACCATACAAGCTTAAGTGTACAGTTAGGGTGAACAAAACATGTAAATACTTATATATAGCATCTGTATATAGTGAATAAAAGCAAAAACAATATGGTGGGAGGAGAATGTTGGCGAGTGAGGAAGGGAGTGGCGGCCAGTGGCTGGCTAACTGGTGTGTGGCGACCCCTTTTCGTTGCTTTTTGGCTCTGTACCAACTTAATGGTTCGTTATGGTGACCAAAACATGCAGATACTTGTATATAACCTGCGTATATAGTGTAATAACAACAAAACTATTTGTTTATTGTTTTATGAACATAATAATTGAATCACTAATATGCACACCATAATTTTGAGTATAGTGATGGTTCACACATTTTATTATATAACTATATCACACTACACACTATTGAATAATATTACTGCAAAAAAAAAAAAAAACTAAACATTGAAATAATTAGGCAATAATATCTTTGCGACAACACCCGCCTGACATCTGGGGTGGAGCAGACCTCATCTGGCGCCTGCTCTGTCAACACCTCTCTATTGCCAGACTTCCCTGCCCTATTGCGGCCAAAATATGCCACCTACAATTTTTGTTTTCCCATTGATCAGGGAACACAAATGAACACTTATAAGACGAAAGAATTTTTTGGATTTTTTTGCTGTTGTGCCTGGTGGTGTTGCAGGCCAAAAAGCCCTTAGCAGTTTAACCCCTAAAGTGTAGGTGGTGATGAGTGTGTGTGTAGGTGGTGATGAGTGTGTGTGTTGGTGGTGGTGAGGGAGGCGGAGGAGGGAAGGATTGCTGGTCAGGCGATGGTTGCCAAACCTTCTACCCATACTGTATTCAATTTTTTTAATCTTAGTTGTAAAATATTTATGCCAAAAAATTCAATTTTTGTATATTACTCTACATTATTAATCATTAACATGTTTTATGATTTCCTATTTATTAAACAAAGTTTTATTTATGAAATATGTTTTATTTATTTACATGTCCGCCTCTACGCCTAGCCTCGACCCAGTTAATAGCTCCCTCGACCCCGTTAGTAGCTCCCTCGACCCCGTTAGTAGCTCCCTCCTTCATAGCCTGCTGTTCTCATGTTATGAGGAAGGCAGTGAGGGAGGGATGGGAGGCAGTGATGGGGAGTGGCAGGGGAGGGATAGAAGCAGTGAGGGAGGGAGGGTGGTTGTGGGGAAATCTGGCTCCAGAATAAAGTTAATAAAATTAATATACTGTATAATTCAAAGGACCATTCTTAGGGAAATAAAATAAATTGGAGAACCAGTACCTATAGATCTCTTATATGATGTGTAACTGAAATCTATTAATGTATAGCAGTGAACTGTAGTTTACTGTAAAATAGAGCCAAATCCCTCCACAAACTTTGGGGGGTTAATTTGTAAAAAGAAGTTAATGCACTTCAAGTATAAAAATAATGAGATGCTAATGCGAATCAATTCATAAATCGCATATAAATAATAAAGAGATACAGTATATAATATTATTAAATTAATAAATCAATGACTACTACAGAGCACCACTTGGTTTCCGAACCCCTTGGGGACGAGACCCGTCGGTTAACATGTAAGTTCGTATACGAGAAATAGAGGGGAAAAAATAAACTAGAAATGTAAAAAGAAATTTTTCAAAAAAAATTTACGAAAAAAACTCTAGGGGAAAAATCGACAGGTTCATAGCGTAAATGCGACTGTGTTTTGTTTGTACTCACCAATAAGTGAAGTCCTGATCCGCTTTATAAAAG